AAAGGCACGCACTTTACTGCGTGTATTCCCTTAAGGGATGTTCCACGCGCTTTCCGCACAGCCGCAACGCACGCTCCGGGACCCCTACCGCACGCAAGCGGGGGACAAATAACCCAATTGGCGACGCTGGGGAGGGTGAAAGAGCGTCGCTAATTGGCTTATTTGTCCCCGCTTACGTGTGGTCGGGGTCATGGCACGTGCATTGCGGCTGTGCGGGAAGCGCGTAGAACAACCCTAAAGGCTAGTTGACTCTGAAGGCAGGGTGGCCAAAGTGGTTAGGTGGCAACGCGGAAAGCGGAAAAAACCTCCTCTCCAGGCGGCAAGGGCAATCGCTTTCGGAGCATTTTTTTTTCGCCTGCCGAGGCTCGCCGCTTTGCCACAGCCAATCACAATGGCATGCAGTGGAGACGCGGTGGTGGCGCGCGTGTGCGCTTGGGAGAAGCATTGCCACGTCATAGCGACACGCGCGCAAAAGCGCCAGATGCCGGCCTCTTCTGCCGCGCGGCAAGTTGAAAGAGGGATGCAGTCTGAACAGGTCCACGTACTCGTCGCTTCGAAAAGCCCGCTTGCCCGCTTTGCCGCGCCGCCTTTGGTATGAACCAGAATTAAGACTACATAGTGGGTGCATAGCAGGTTCAGAAAGATTTGATGGTTAAAGCATGCTACCCATTAAACAGAATGCCGCCGTATGTGAAAGCTTCACTGAGACGTACAAGCCACTTTCAACTTTATCATTACACTGTACTCTTCTTCTTCTCGAGTAAAATCATACAATAAAAATTACGCACCGAGGAGCAGGGTATCGCTATCGCGTTCAGTTCATAAAGGGCCAGTTAACAGCACTGAGGTCTAAAAAATTTAATGAAGAGAATTATGTGAACTTTTAGTAGGAGAACACGCTGCCGCAAGAATTTTGCGAATACGTGCTATAATAAGAAAGTTACAAGGGTTATAACATCCGTTCCAGCCAGTTTCAAATTTTTGTGCGGCCGCTCACCACCCTTCTCCGTGAAGCAGTAGCCCGTCGTCCTGACTCCGCCCACTTTGGCAACACTATCGACGTCCGTGATTCGTCATCGGTGCGCAAACTACCGAGGGGGCTTTTACTTTGCATGAGTACGTGTCATAGTGACGCGGGCAGAAAATAGACTGAGGAGTACTTTTCCCCTCGCAGTTCAATGGTAAGATGCCTCTTTATCTTGGAGGATTTCATTCTGGCACTACCGCTTCTCTCGCAGTCTCGGGTATGGTACCATATCTCGGGCTCTACAATACAGCAGAGAGCAGCACAGAAATGAAAATGTGGACTGTGCGGCTGAAACTGCATCGCTGCGGGGCCAAGCCACCGTTTCGTAGAGCAAAGAACCGATCAACGAGCTCAGTGGTGCGTTTAACGTTGCCGATGGGGCAAGCTTTCATCATAGTGCGCTTACGTGGAGGATTGGTGAGGCGAGGGAAAGAGGCGCGATATTGTTTTAGATGCGGAACATCTCTTTGAGTAGCCTGTTTAACGCTGCCCTCTGTACGAACGCGCCGCAGGTGTTGGCGCAGCGCCAAATAGGTCACGCCGCTGCTGTGCGTCTACGTCACGCTCCCCTCGCAGTGCCCGCTGACGTCACTCTCTCCTTCTCCTGCCGCGCGCTCGCCCCGGTGCCCGCAGCTGCCGCCTCGTTCGTTCGCCCGCAACACCTGCCGTGACCGCCGCTCACTACACCACCGACTCCGGCCCACTCGTCCGTTCACACGTAATAAACCTGACGTGCGCCTAACGTATTCGTTGAAACATACCTGTACGTGTCACCTACGAGACCTACGCCAGCCGTCGCTTCAAAGGAATCTTCCAACGCTCACTGCAGCACCCGCGTTAGCGCGGTTCAACCCGTGACGCCACCCGTGCGCAACGCTGCTTCTTCGCATCCCATCAGGGTTTCCTTCGGGGTGATAGTCCAAGTTCTTTCGAAATGGAGGGTATGCGCGGCACACAGCGCTGCAATATTTGGCAAAAAAAAAAAAGAGTCGGAGCCTGTTTACTGGCCCATTAAAGGCGAAGCTTAAGGATATCCAATTTTTAGGCTCTTTGCGATGATGTTTTTTCTGAGACGCTCATGCTTGCTGATGGAATCTGAGGAATCTCAATAAAAACGGTGTTACAGCATATGCAAGGAGTGAATGATGATGAGTGGGGCGAAGCGTTCGTCCATGCGTTCATCTGGACGGACGCTTTGCCCCACTCATCATCATTCACTTCGTGTATATGCTGTGATGTTTTTTTTTTGCTTAAAGCTTAAGTGTTGCCAAGGCGACGGAGTCATCAATTTGCTACCTTCATAATTGTGTTCATGATAATGATGTTGACTCATGAATATTCTTTCATATTTATAAGGCTCTCTTATATAAGAGAGCAGAGTGGATTAGGGAACAAACGGGGGTTAAGGATATCATAGCTGAAATAAAGAAGAGCAAATAGACATGGACCGGGCATGTAGCGCGTAGACAGGATAACCGCTGGTCATTAAGGGTAACTAACTGGATTCTCAGAGAAGGGAAGCAGGTTAGGGGGAGACAGTAGGTTAGGTGGGCAGATGAGATTAAGTTTGCGGGTATAAATTGGCAGCAGCAAGCACAGAACCGGGTTAACTGGCGGAACATGGGAGAGGCCTTTGTCCTGCAGTGGACGTAGTCAGACTGATGATGATGATGATGATGATGATGATGATGATGATGATGATTTATAAGGCAGTTTTATTTAAAAGCGATTGACAAAGTGCCACCGCGAATACTGTAGTCAATGCTGCATTTAAACTTGCAGTTAGAAACATTGCTGAGGCTCCAGTTGTTTCCGCATACGAGCTTGCCAGAATTTACATATTTGCAGCATATTTTGTTGGTTAGAAGTTTCCTTAGTGTTCTTTTGGCAAAGCTTGTGAATACCGAATTCAAATAGAAAGTATGTGAAATCATTGGGCCATTTCGAAGATTGCTTCGTAAGTCCACCTCGGGGGATCAGTGGCTACGGCGCTCGCCTGCTGACACGCTCGAAGGTCGCTGGTTCGAGCCCGACCATGGTGGTCGAATTTCGATGGAGGCGAAATGGTTGAGGCCCGTATACTCTGCAAAATCAGTGCAGGTTATATGGTGGAAAGTTCTGAAACCCTCCGCCAAGACGTCTCTCACAATCATACAGCGGTTTTCGGATGTAAAAACCCGGATATTAATTAATTAAAATGATGCCATAGCCATTTCTATTGCTGCTTTGAAAATAACTACCTTGCTATTCGAAACTACTCCGGCAGTATTTGAGTCGCTTCTAAAATTTGCTATTCGCACAACCCTATAGTTATGAGTGGCCGTGCCTGATTTGTGCGCGTTAAGTTTTAATATTTTGTCGTCATCCCGAGAGCTCTCTTTAATTCTTTACCTTATCAACATATGCGGCTGAAATGTCGAAAGTTACGGGCCACGTATGGAGCAATAGAACCAGAAATAATGAGCGTAACACTAAGGTGCACGATGACAGCTGTGGAAATTGGAGAGTGATCGGGTGCAGCAGTCGTGTTGTAATTGCCATTGAGAGAGAGAGAGAGTAAAACAATGGGGCTACGTATGTCATGCTTAGGCTGAATTATCTGACGTCATGCATTGGCCAAGGGACCATAATATAGGTTCAATTATAAATTGACAATAGGGGCCAAGAGTAGGGCAGTCAAGGATGGCAGAGAACACGGAGGATGTAAATAATTAGGAAAGAGGAGGAAAGGAAGCAATGAAAGGCAGGGAGGTCAACCAGGCGTGCACTAAGGGAAGGGGGGAGGCAGTTAACGAAAAGAAAGCACCGTCTCGGTACATATGCCCCGATCCATTGGTGGCTTACAAGTGACTGCTTAATCCAGTCGATTAAAAAAAAAAGAAATCCTAGCAATGCTCACGTTGTTTGCTGGCCTGCGACGCGTACAGCCACTATGCGAGAATCTTCTTTTTTTTTTTTTTTGAAAAAGTTTGAAGTAGTTTGTTCAGCGTTACGCGTAGCGTTTGCTCGCAAAACAATCACAGGAACACAGTAGAAGTTCTATATCCTCGTCACTATCGCACGAGTCACAGCGTAGAGTACGCTTTCGTGAAAGCTACTCCTAACTACAGGTGGCACAGTAAAGCTGTGTCACGACGGGAGCAGCCCGATGGAACTCGAAGCTTCCTCGAAGGGTTCAATTTATGTAGGCGGCGGTTCTCGATGCTGGAATCACTCAGCCAAGTTTCCGACGTTGTGTCAGCGAACGAGTGAAGACTCCTTGCAGCATCGGTTCTCGACAAGGGTATTTGAGTTGTGTGGGCGTTCTCCTGGGCGGACTGGGCAGAAATGTTCCATGCAGGCTTAAGGTGTGATCAGCTGTTGTTGATACGCTTTTGGATTGTGGTGGAAGTAAATAGTTCACGCTTGATGAGGATGACGATTATCGGTCATATCACGCGTATATTTTGGCTATAGTCGAACATTTGATAGTTTAACACGTGCATCACTGTTTGGCAGCTAAAAAAAGGAGGTGCAAAACGGAGAAAATTCCAGACAGAACCGAATCAGGTTTTTTATGTTGGCACCTCTGAATTTAAACAGAAGACGAAGTTTCTTTTATTACAGAGGGAGGATGGCTCAGGTTAGCAAATGTCGACTGACATTAACCGGTGCTAGCCGCAATTAGCGGCGCTTTAGTCTTATTTGAACAAAGTTTGGCGTCATTAACCAGCACTAGCCGACAAAAGGACGTGAGAAGGGCCACAGTGCCCACGTGCACGACTAACGTATCGGAGGTTTAAAGGAAAGTAAGAAATGGAAACAGTCAAAATTAGCTATTGCTTGTGAGTGCTGTTGTAGTATGCGAATAAATAAAGAAGGTAAGGAAACCCACGCTGTCCAGCATTGTTAATAAATTTCTCTAACATTTTTGGCTAGATCACCTTTGTTGTATGAATGTATGTTTTTTTTTTGTCGCAGTAGATTCTGCAACAAGAGAAAGTTGCCAGCATTACGCCGAAGCTTGGAGCGTGAGGCGTTGAGTACGGGCGGCAAGTGACGCAACAAAATGTGCCACCTTAAAGTTTTCTTCCTTGCCATCGCCGTATTGCTTGCAACGCACACAGTCACGAAATACGCTGCCGCGGAGGAGAGCGACTTCGTAAGTGCGCTATATTTTTTTGTTGTGTGGTATACAGTTGTGTCACAGGCATCCTTGCTACGACAGTATGATTTAGTGACGGAAAAAAGAGAACGCGTGATCGGTGATCAAAAAGATGAGAAACACACACACACACACACACACACACACACACACACACACACACACACACACACGCACACGCACACGCACGCGCATACACACACGCACACGCACACGCACGCGCATACATACACGCGCATGCATACAGACGCATGCATACACACAGATGCATACACACGCATGCATACACACGCATGCATACACACGCATGCATACACACGCATGCATACACACGCATGTGCATACACACGCATGCATACACACACATGCATACACACACATGCATACACACATGCATACACACATGCACGCATACATGCATGCATGCATGCATGCATACATACATACTCACACACTTCATTTAAAAAGAACCCGGAGGAAGGAAAGAAATGAAAGGCAAGAAGTTCTGCCAGACGTGTGCGTTCCATTCGCTACTCTGCACTGAGGAAAGGGAGATAGTGTTAGCGAAAAGAAAGGGCCGTCTGGGTACTTTTTCCGGGTTGCAATAAACGCTCACACGAGTGTTTGTTTTTGCAGAAAGCGAAATCAAACTTTCGCTCCGTGTATAAACACAGGCTCTGTCCACCAATGTGCCTTAATAGCATCGGTGGGCAAGAGCTTTAGAAAATAGCCCACTGATTTTCCACAGCTTCCTTCCCTTATTTGGCTAACTGTATTCACATAAATGTTTTTTTGAGCTAATAAAAGTCGTAACACATTTTATTGTACTTTACGCACGTTACTTTAATGTAAAAGAGACTTTCCTTACCCTCGAAAATAACTTGAAAATGTGCTGTCAGTTTCGACGTTAGGAGCCGGTAAATGAGGTGGCCGGAAGTTTTTTTTTTTTTTAGTACAACGCTTGCAACCTCGAAACCGTCTATAGTTTGTGAAACAGACGAGTTGATCCCTGGCAGCCTAGCCCCGGGTACAACCGTCGGGCAAATAAAGTTTATTCAACTCAACATGCACTACACAATGTAAGCAAAGGTCAAGCTATCTGATCGCTTATTTCAGAGTGCTTGCCGATTTTTCTGGCCGAATATTCCGCTTTGACACGCCCTCATTCAAATTCTGTCACTTCCATGTTACGTTGACATATCCCTATGTTACACAACTCCTGGCGCGCAATGGACGCCATCAGTTTCAATTTCGCCCGTGAAGTTCGATGGTGAATAACTCGCCTACGTGCAAATCTCGCGCGATTTCTAAAAAAATTTAAGTAGGCCACAAATTGGCAGGCACTACAACCTTGTTATATCAACACTTGTATTCAAGTTAGTAATTTAAAAGATAACATTTTTTTAATTAGTCGCGGCAGTGTGCTATTAACTGCGACAAAGTAATTCCGCATGAACGTTGAACTCGCGTGCGAGAACTGCTGGAGCCTTACTGTCATAGGACTTTTATTTGAAAGAAAATCTGTACCGAATTAAAAGCACCCTCTACATATGTTGATCTTTTATATACGCGTTAAATGAGTGTTACTTCTTTTTCGTATTATTTCACATATGCTGTCCTGGCAGATAGGTGCAATTATTAAACAATTTACATAGAAGCAGTTTCTTGCTTTTCGCGTGAAAATATTTACAACTTACATCACAAACATTACCAGCTGCCAGTGAATATTTACTGTTTCTTATTCGTAACTATTATCGAAAAAAATGAAGCATCTCCCAAGGCAAATTATTATTTATGTATATGCGAGAAGTGGTGGCGCTGCTTATGCAGTGCTGAATTCAGTCCTTTTATTTTCGAGGCCCCGCAGTTTTAATGGCTGAATTCATGCTGGATTTTCTGTATGCCAGACCTGATGAAACAAATGTTAAATAGATTCGTTCTAAACATACTAAAATTACAGCGAAAATTTGGTGGTAACTCTGACAACTGTGTGGATTGTCTCTGGAAAGGAATGAACGTTGATCGTTTTTCAAGCAACGTGACCTTGTTTGATGTCATGTACTTTATAGCGAGTTGTAAAAACGCATTTACGTGTTTCAGAAAAAAAAACGTTGTGAATAACGTTAAGCTTGACTATATTTGTTTAGATTGACTGGGGAGAAGGAAGCGGCGATGAATGCGACACTTCGCAGAACTGCCATTCACCGGGAACGATGTGTTGTGTAAGCACCCACGGCACTAAACAGTGTCAATCGCTGGCTCAGATTGGTCAACGTTGCTCACTGAATGAGCCTCATGAAACATACTGCCCTTGTGCATCACGTAAGTTGCAATGTATGTAAAATGTCAAATCATTAGATTTTCTCAATCCCCATGGGTAATGTAAGCTACGCAATGCGCAGCGACATGAAACGAAAAAATGTTCGGCGTAATATTGAAGAAAGCCCAGGAACACTCTTCCAAGCGATAATCTAATGACCGTTAGTCTGAGTTTATTGGCTCACGAACCGACCACCGCGAATACCTTTACGATCCGTAAAATCTGAGTGTAGTTGCAGGGATCGCTAGCATGCTTTAAAATGATGTGACATGCCTAAAGGGACACGAAGGTTTTCAGTTGCTGTATTTCTGCTCGAAATGAAAGGCTAAGTCTTCGACAGCTTTGAATACGCACTGCAAACTGTGACTGCAGCTTAAAAAAAGTAATTATACAAAGTGTTTTTGAAAGCTAGTTTTGGTTCCTACAGTACCTTGACGTCACGACAGGACATGAGCTTTTTCTTACGAGCTCGCTCAAAATCTCGTGACGTTTCCACAGCAGTTCCGCACCGTAACTCCGTTGGTGACGCAAAGCGGCCATTTCGAACGTTTTGGGGACGCACGAGCGGCCATGTTTTGGTAGCTTACGTCATCTGAACTTTCCAGACTGGCGTGATGTCATCAGAATTTGTATTGTAGCCTAACGTCAAGTTTCGGCCGATGTCGGCAGGTGCGCCATGTGAAAAATTACGTGAATATCAAAAGAAAGTATCTCATCAGCATTTCCTGAGGTTCAAACTTGCTCAAAGCCGTATCTACACACAGGATACTTGTATGGCAGAGTAAACTGACCTCCGAGAAATAGTGTCAGTACCCATTTAACTGCTTTCTCTCTCCTTTCGTAGTACTGAGCACGCTGATCACTACTTACGGCCGATGATAAGAGAACAATAAGGCGGTCAGATGAGATTGAGATGTTTGAATGCATAACGTGGCACCAGAAAGCACCGGGACCAGATTGATTGGCGTAACATGGCAGATGAATGGACTATGCATCCTTGCAGGAGGCATATAGTCAAGCTGATTAAGAATATAATGCAATTGATTGATTTTATTTGTGGGGTTTAACGTCCCAAAACCACCATATGATTATGAGAGACGCCGTAGTGGAGGGCTCCGGAAATTTCGACCACCTGGGGTTCTTTAACGTGCGCCCAAATCTGAGCACACGGGCCTACAACATTTCCGCCTCCATCGGAAATGCAGCCCCCGCAGCCGGGAATCGAACCCGCGACCTGCGGGTCAGCAGCCGAGTACCTTAGCCACTAGACCACCGCGGCGGGGCAGAATATAATGCAAGTAAATTTATGTTCGAAATAACGCAGCCGTCACCGGTAATATCACGTGATTACGAGTTAATTACAAATCATGCTGCTGCCGCGAAGCCGGTCCCACCTAGCTTTCTCCAATCATCCTTTTTTTTTTCACTACATCTTTTCGCTGTCTTTTACGTCATTTGAAGACTCTCCGTAACAGCACGGATTACGTTTTCTTAACGAACGAACTCAAACGTGTGAAAGTAGAAATTACAAAGAACACCCAGAAAATTTCTTGTGCTGTCATGATAATTTTCCCTCTAACGAAACTTGTATAAATCGCTTTGGGGCTTTGGGTAATATATATATATATATATATATATATATATATATATATATATATCTGTGTGTGTGTGTGTGTGTGTGTGTGTGTGAGTGTTGAGAGAGACCAGATTTCATTCAACAAGTATTGGCTGGACTCTGGACTGTTGTGTCGTATCCCTAACGAAAACGGAGCTGCTTGAGAATTGAGGGGAGAAAAACTATGGTGAACCTTATGCACTGAATTCGCCGTTCGTCTTTTTAATAAGTGTTTTTGCCAATGATTAGCCAAATTGCTTTTTTCCAATTCGCTAATGATCTGTATAGGATAACGTCTGGCTGAGTATGGCTCATGCGAACAAGATGGCTTGGCGTTCAGCCAGCGCATAAACTTTGGCCGGGCGGCTAAATGATGTGACATACCAACAGGCAATGCTCTACGATCTTTATCCTTTCCACTTTAGACTTGGACGGCTTTTGCTGTCCCATGGCAGAGTACCAAGTACTCTCAATTGTTAAACACTGTTCCTAAACACATTCCAAGAAAGAATATCGCTTTTAATATTGTGCATTCTTTCACGTTGTTTCTTACAGCGCATACGTGTGTTGACAAGGGAGAAGGGATCAACATATGCGTGGCTCCTGGCAAAAGAAAATAAACTTCACCAAATTTTATGCAGCACAGCGAGTCCGTTGAAGTCTTTGGTAAATTACAGCCGAGTCAATGCATCTAGCGCTGGTTACGAAACATATCAAATTGTGGCCGCGAAAGAACCAAGTTTGAAGCGCCGGCCTACCCTTCGGCTACCGCTCCCGCGATCGTGCACACCAAAGGAGAAGAAAGGACATATAAGAACAATTGAGAGAAACATGAAGGACACGACCGCGAGGCGCGGCCTCGGAACTTCGAAACTGCAGAAAGCACGCGCCCGCCGACACCGGGTCCTTGACGCAACGTCGTAGCAGCAAGCCGGCTTAATTGATTCATATGTGGGGTTTAACGTCCCAAAACCACCATATGATTACGAGAGACGCCGTAGTGGAGGGCTCCGGAAATTTCGACCATCTGGGGTTCTTTGACGTGCCCCCAAATCTGAGCGCACGTGCCTACAACATTTCCGCCTCCGTCGGAAATTCAGCCGCCACAGCCGGGATTTGATCCCGTGACCTGCGGGTCAGCAGCCGAGTACCTTAGCCACTAGACCACCACGGCGGGGCAACAGCAAGCCGGCGACGAAGATCAATGAGCGAAGGATAAACGCCGGCCAGAGAGGTTGAAAATTAGACAGTCTGTAAATTCCAAGGTGTGTTCGCCGAAAGCCTGTGGTTATCCGATTGACCACGCCATATCTTTTTAAATACGAAGAATTTCGTAACGAACTTCAGGGACTTTGACCGTATTCATTTATCTATCCGCCAATACGTCTTTGTGCTATCCGGACCGTATTGTGAATTGGATTTATACAACATCTTTTTTTGGCATAACATGATTGACCTACCCTGACGAACATAAATGACCGGTCCTATAGTAAAAATCATGGCTTGTTATAAGCGTCATGGTTTACATGCTCCGTCTGTGATCCACTAGCGGCCGTTTCGGTCAACTGATATCGAAGAAAACTTGTATGACGAGACATTTCTGACTAACATAGATACCAGGCGGTAATGGGAAAACCGCGACGCGTAATCTATGTATACCATGACACATATCCCATGCTCATAGTGCGTTCGTGGCTCTTTAGCTAGCTTGACATGTTCCAAACTTGGTACTTAATGGGTGACGGGACTGTACAACGAACATAAATTACATAAGGTAACATGACGGTCATATCATGTACAGCATGACTTACATGTACAACATGATTTACTTGCCAACCTCATCGTGCCCTCATGTACGGTTCACCAACTTGATATACAGGAAGACTGCTGTGACGTGGCGTGACTGTATCACAAACATAAATGACAGATGGTAAAATTAAACTCGTGACATCCTGGTCACGTAGAACATGGTGCACGCCACGCACATGGTGCCCTCACGGCCGTTTCGCTGGCTTTACACCGTCACGACCAGCGCCTATTGGCCGAAGAAGGAGCGGCGTTCTTTCTTCGTCAAAGAAGTCGCCGAAGGGCTGCCAGCCCGAAGTCCGCGGTGTATTGTCCTTACTAGCTGGAAGGTGAGGCCGCCGTGCCGTCAGATTCCATAAACAGTTGCCCGAGACCACAGCAACGGTTTCCGCGGACTTGGCATCTCCCTTGGAAGAGTCTGCGGCGTCAGCCCCGCCGAGAAGGTGATTCTTAAGAGAGAAAGAAAGAGAAAAGTGAGCCCCGTAACTGTCTGCTTCAGTTAGCGACACCTCAACAGTAGCTCACAAGGGATGGGGGTGAGGAGGGATAAAAGGGGTGGAAGTAAAGGTGTAGAAAAGAGGAAGAGACGTGAGGTGGTAAGCCAGAAGGAGCGGCAACAAACTGAGGGGATAGGAGAGATATGAAAGATGGAAACACGGTCACAGGAGTCCGAGCACGGGGCACCACTTGCGAGAGCTCTTGTCGGCGTCAGTAGATGGCGTAGAGCAAGTCCAGTCAGTCAGAGCTACACTGTCGTCGAAGGTCGTCGGCGTCAGGAGGTGACGTAGGGCGAGCCCAGTCTGCCAGAGCTACGCTGACGCCGGAGATCGCGAGGGCACAACCGGTCGGCACGGAATCCAGCAAGCGAGCCTCAGCCCCACCGACAACTCGCCCCGCTAATTGAGCGGTGGTTCGGCGTACCTTTTGAACTTTCGTGCGACGGACCTTTTGATGCATTCTGTCGTCACAGTGTGGGAACCCTCACTCACTGACACGAGAAGGAAGAGCCACGTTGGTATACCACAATGCAGTGCGGGGACCACGCCCCAATAGTGCACATTCACATGGGCGGGTGTGGGCGTCACCCTCGGAAGTTGTATGTGTGACATGTGATTGGATAGGTATCTGGGGAGAACGTACTCTCTATTATGAGCCACCCGGCTCATTCGAGATGACTCGCTATGTACAAAATGCAAATAAACCCTCTTGTTAAGTTCACCTTCCTCCAAGATCGTCTCTCCGAAGTCGCTGGTGGCCCAAAGGCCAGTCGCAACAATGCACACAATAATTGGCATTGCATGACATGACTGTTTGACAAACGTACATGGCAGGTGGTAACATAAAAATCATGGCATTCACGTCTTGTTCTGCATGGCTTGCATGTGCACGATCATAGTGCGGTCGGGGCCGTTTCGTTAGCTTGATACATAACAAAATTGTTACTGTGCGAAGTGACTGTATGACGAACATGAATGACGAGTACTAACATGACAATCATTGCATGCGTTACATCATTATTTATAGCAGATATGCGTTATGCGTTATATAATTTAACCGTCACATAAATATTTGTGACGTGAGCTTTGTTCCACCGTCATTGATCCATGAACTTCGCTTCAGTTGTGTTACTTTGAACTTTACGACGCGTAAACATTCATTTCAGGCATACGAAAATACCGACGAAACAGTGCAACCTTTTTTTTTTTAGTAAGAGTTTATAACCTTCCGCAAGCAGCACGACTTGGCGTGGATTCGGTATTTTCTGAACAATGAGGTTCAGGCTCAATACTTGACATCACAATGCCTTTTTCTAATGCATTGTCTTTTGTGCAGCTGTTAAGTGGGCCTACCTTAGTTACGTATTCAAATGCCAGCACGTTTGTTATTTTCTTCGTCAGTGCTCGTGATCTTTTTTTTATTTTTAAACTTGTCACGTAGCGTATGTGACCTCTGTTACAAAAGCCTCCGCCGAAAAAGAATGTATTTTCAAAGCTGAACCAAACCAAAACAAGGCGGAAGTTCGGCGAATTATGAAAGCTTTAAAATATGGCGAAGAAGGAGCAGGAAGAGTACCACAATGGCGTGTTATGGTATGATCTTTCCAATCGCCCGTAATATTTCCGGCAGTTTCAGATTTTCACATTGCGATTCGTGGAACATCTTGACCCTTCAGTCATGGCGTGCGCAATTTCGTACGCGAACTTCGCAGACACGTCACACGTCGCCTCTTTATGTTTTTTTTAAATGGTCAGAAACCAAGTGTGCACTTTCCTGAAGTATTTATGAATGGATAACTAGCGCCCGTTTAAGTTCATAGCGCTGCGTATTGCTGTATAGAATGACTTTGCATGAGAGACTATCTTATTCGACCATCGTTCGACGTGTCATCTCATTCGACGATAGTTCGACGTGGCGCGTTCCAGGAGCAACATGAGGAGTATTTTCCCCTTCGCTCGAAATGAATACAGCCAAAAAGTAAACTGCGCAGTTTCCTTACCGTCATCAGCAAGAGCCTACTTTATGTCCGTTAAAGAATGAAGGCCTCTCGCAATGATCATCTAACTTGTAGTCCTAATTTATTGTAATACGCATCATGATCGTTTTTCATTTTTAAATCTAAGAGTTTCAAATGACCTTTCAAATTTTCAACTACTAAATCTTGCCAATCCCCCTGAGTGGATATGTGCCATTGTTTTTGAAGGAAAAACAAAAACAATGTCACCTGCGGCCGCCTCTTCCATGTTTTGACTGTAATTATTTTTAAAAATTTTTTTTCTGCGCGTAAGTAGCTGCCTATCTGTGAAGCTGTCCCCATCTTTGTTAACCATTCTGTTGGTGCGAGTGGCCACTGCCTGTCCTTCCTGCGCATTACGTGGCTGACCCAAGTCTCTTTCTTTCGTACGACGGCAGCTATAGAACAATGTCACGTTGCAGGCGTAGTGTGCAGTCAATCAGCCTCACAGCGCGTAATGAAACTGAGGTATATTTATTGAAGGCACTTGTACCCTCAAGAAAGAAACAAGGATATGGCAGTCATGGGGCCGCGGAGAGCCAGCCGCTTGGTCCCTGGGGTTCACTTACGGGAGAGTTGCCGATGCCTTGCAATGGCTTATTAAAGCTTCAAAAAGGTTCAGACTGTAGAACCTATTATTACCCCTAAATTACCTTTTTTTTCAAATTGCTTTATTCGTTCATTTACTTATTGTTGCTGGTGAGACCACCTGCTTCACTTTCTGTATTTTTTGTTTCTAATTGTACATTTCTCATTTATTTTTGTCCCTTTTCAATAGTTTAAAAACCGTGAGCTAGCAAATTAACAGTATTTCGTCAGAACTACCCGGTTCTTGGCCAATCCCACAGCGTGGGTGTGTGCCACAGTTTCCAGGCACTTTCTTTCTTTCTATATATCTTGCTCTCTATCTTTCTTTCTTTCTATCTATCTTGCTCTCTATCTTTCTCTCTTTCTTTTTCTCTTTCTTTCTTCCTTTCTTTCTTTTCTTCTTTCTTTCTTTCCTTCTTTCCTTCTTTTTTTCTTTCTTTATTTCTTTCTTTCTTACCTCCTTCCTTCCTTCCTTCCTTCCTTCCTTCCTTCCTTCCTTCCTTCCTTCTTTCCTTTCTTCCAGCCGAAAGGAAATGCCACCCAGCAACAACTGATTGGTTGAAGCATTCACAAATACTCAAAACGGCGTGCATACACTCGTCACACACTGTGCTAGAGATGGGCGCCCTGCGCAGTACTTTATCCCGGCACTCCTGCTTATCTAAGCGTCGACCTAACACCTAAGTATTCGTTATCAATACAAGAGAGCAAGAGGCAAAAGCAATATCGCCTGCTACTT